ACCCCCCGGCTAATCCCCTCTTTATTACACCAACCCTCGGTGCACCGTGTATATCAACAGACCTTTCCTCAACTGGAGACGTATTTATAGTAGTTGATGGATAATTCTTCAAGTACCAAAGGTAGTGACATCCTTTTTCTCTACTCACTGTCTTTATTTTGTCGATATGTTTATTCACGGTTTAAACTCTACATTCAGTCACACCTACCCACCAGCAAAAGCTCTTAACACAGCTGTGGAGTTATCAGTTTCAAAGGAATTCATTTTTTCTTCAGAAATTATTCAAATCATTTTATTCAGAGCCAGCAGAAAAGAAAGAATAAAAAAAAAAATAAATAATAATCCCCCGACAAAACTCCCGCCCCACCGTCTGTGATGTAGATCTACACACGTTACGAAAGTTATCATAACGAAGCTGCGATAATTGTAGTAATTCAAACTTTCAGTCCCGTTAACTTCATTTTATGCCAATAAAATTTAGCTGTCACAACTAGAAGCACTGGGGAAAATTTTACATGCGTCTCTATTAGTATTTAGATTAATCATTAAATAAAAATTCTACACTTTTGAAACTGATCAAAATAAAAAAATGCTAGTAGTCCAAACGTACCTACCTCAGTCTAATCCCCCCCCCCACCCATCCACCCACCATTACAACAACGTTTAATAACAGCAGAGTATATGCGGCCAATCTCCTCTTTGCGCCAGCCTCCGAGTTTTTTAAGACATTTCTTTTTATTCGACTTGATACTACCCTAGGTTCTAGATTCCAGTTTTGCCTTGAATACAGTAAATAAAATCAAATAAAGCAGACTTAAATCTGTTTTACGTTTCATTTTGGTCTAATGGCATTCAACTGCAGATTCACTGCGTAGCAGTTCTTTTTTATTTACGGAAATCGTGCACTGTGTGAAGTCAGAATTCCAGGTATGTTATGTGTTAGGTGTTAGTGTTACAGATCTGTTAACATTCCTCTTAACCCAAATAAGAAAACATGGATTTCAGGTAAACAGTCTGTTGACATGTGGTCAACATCCAGCTATTCTGCTGCAGCATGTTGTTAAAAGGCTGATAGTCCCATGTTGACCCATTTCTTGGTGTGTGACACCAGCAAGAATAGCACAGTGGGAATCCCCGAGTCAACTTACATGTGTTCACTAGAGAGAGCCTACATACAAGTTTGAAGTGGGCAGGTAATTTGCATTTTGACTATACATGTACAGTTTATGTTGTTCTTTACCATAACACTAACACTAACATATTCAGACTTGACCTCTTGAAGATGTAACGCCAGCTTAACCACTTGGTGGTTAAACTTTCTAAAATTGAGAGGAATTAAAATGTTTTATTTCTGACGTGCTAAATATCGAAAGCAGATAAGCTAGGATAATTCTGTGATAACCCCTCGTTGATCCCTACAGAAACGGATAAGCAATTGAAAATTTAAGCTTAACATTTTTTAGTTTGCTCTGATTAATTTAACATTTTATGTAACAGAGATGTTTGGTGTAACACCGTCTGTAACAGGAACTGTAGTTTTCAACAGATCTGCTACACTAAAATTGGTGTTACACTGGTGTTTAGTAAGAGGTCAGAATTGTTGATTAATGTAACATATCTGTAACATATCTGCAACACTAACACCTATCACATAACATAGGCCTACCTGGAATTCTGACCTCACCCACTATCTCTGTTCTTCAGGGTCACTGTTGAAACCCGCTTTACAGTGACTCTGACACTCAGGGCACTTGAGACGTACTGGAGACGTATTCAAAGTAGAGCATAATCCTTCCAGCACCATAAGGGGCGACATTCTCTTGGATAATTTATACAGTCTGCCTGCCGTTAATATTGCGCATAGTTATGCAGCGACTGCAACAGTTTAAATATAACCAATGCGTCCCAATTTCTGCCTTCGAACATAATAGGCAAGAGTCCTATATTTAGGCCTTTTCTAGGGCACAATAAACAAGCCGTTCATATAAAACCGGTTTGCAAGGTACATTTTAGTTAGTGTATTTACAGGCGCCTGTAAGCTGGTCAAAGGAAAAAGGTATGTATGATAAACATTTTTTATGGATTTTCTTTAGGTCTATACTTCTATTGATGATTATTCCTGACAATTAAATGTGACGTCTTATTTAGACTAAGGAACTATTCCCAAACCCTATCGTACTAACTGTGGATCGATCTATTCTAAAGGGGACTCTCGCTAAATTGCAATCAACTTAAGCGGTTTAGATCTCTGTCACGCCTACTAAAGCTTCTAGAGGGTAATTAATTATCGTTAAGCAGCTTCAGTTGGCATACCAGACACCTAAGCCGTCTAAGCTGAAAGTAGTTTAGCGAGAAACCCCTTTGATATGGATCGATCCTGTTAGATCGATCTAGGGTATGGGGGCCCAGTCTTAATTTCCATTTAGATCTACCGAAAGATTTGCTGCACAAAGCAAGCGCAATGGGGATATTATGATAGTATAAACTATATTAGCATATCAGACAATATTATATTATATATTGCATAGCAGATCAGCTTTTTATACAAGTTACACGTGCGTGGCGTGGATATATAAGTGTAGGGTATTAAATATATATTTGTTGATCAATACTTGATTTATTGTCCTGTATTTTTGAAACAAGCATTTAACGCTTACCGCAGTTAATGTCGTTCAATGCCACAGTAATTCAGTTCTGTAGTGTTTAAATCCCATTTGTGTGTTCAGTCCTACATACTCCTTATATATACGATATACTGTTATATACACAATATATTTTTATGTACAATACACCACTTCTTGCCTCTGAATATTGTGAAGATTCTGGCTTGGCCATATACGTCTTTACCCAAGGAAAGAAGTATTGGACAAGTAAATTGAAAGCTATATTGTAAAACATAACAGAAAAAGGCAAAAATAAATTATATGAAAAGGAACAGGGCCTGATGAAACGGTAGTTTGTCATAACAGTATAGAAATATTGGGACTAAACTATTGGCCTTTTATAGAAAGGTCAGCGCGCTGTGTCCTAAATATTACTGTCCTCTCGGCAAGGATAATCTTTGTATCCTCCTCTGAATTTAAGGGGATAACAGCTCTTCATATGAGTTTAAAACAATAAATATATTGCAAAGAAAACAGAAAACGGAATTGGATTGTACCACCAAAGCGGTAGTTATGGCAACTGCACTTAAATCTGTGCTGACATGAACCACCAAAGAGAAAGAGAGAGAGGGAATGAGATATCTTGATATGGTCAGTTTACAGAGCATATAACGTGTTGCCAGCATGTTAAAGACCAGATATCAATAACCGGAAACCCCATCAGCTGTCACATTGAAATACATGGTCAATTGATTTGTATTTTATTTTATTTTAAATGTTTCTTTCAGACTACTCACAATGTGGCTGTATCTGGTTGCTGTTATCGTCATCCTGATATCAGTATGGCTGTGGTAGGTACAATACATCACCAAATACAAATGTGGTATTGTAGTAGGTATAATATATATCACTATATCATAGTATGGCTGTGGTAGATACAATAAATCACCAAATACAAATGTGGTATTATAGTAGGTATAATATTTATCACTATATCATAGTATGGCTGTGGTAGATACAATAAATCACCAAATACAAATGTGGTATTATAGTAGGTATAATATTTATCACTATATCATAGTATGGCTGTGGTAGATACAATAAATCACCAAATACAAATGTGGTATTGTAGTAGGTATAATATATATCACTATATCATAGTATGGCTGTGGTAGGTACAATAAATCACCAAATACAAATGTGGTATTGTAGTAGGTATGATATATATCACTATATCATATTATGGCTGTGGTAGGTACAATGTATCACCAAATACAAATGTGGTATTGTAGTAGGTATGATATATATCACTACACTGTAAAAACAGTGTTTAGCTCCGAGACACATTTCTAAGCGCCTGTTTTGTCTCATTTTTTCCACGCGTTTAGCACCTAAGCACGTTTAGCCTATTAACATGTTACACGCTTTGACGTGCTTCACGCCTAATAAATGTAGGGTGTATTTGATTAACTTTAAGGTTGTTACGTTTTCAACTGTTTCAGTCACTACACACACACGCGCGCGCGTGCGCGAAGTCACGGTCACCTTTAACTGCTATAGATATCTCTATCTATAACAGGGTACCGTGAACTGTCAACATAGTTGATTCACACCATCATCTTTACAGCGGGACTTATTCATCCTTGTGTTAGCTGACCTTACGAGGAAGTTAATTGGAATATATTTCTGAAAAAACAAGTTAGGAAAATTCACTAGTTTACTAAAGACACGAAACAATATCACTTTTACTTTAAAACATTTTTTTCATATTTTGATAAAATGCGTTAAGGTATTGATGTTCATTTATTTTTTCCGGAAGTAATGAACAATAGAACATCAGGATGATGGTGGGGTATTCATTATAATGTTTTTTTTAAGCTTTCATCACATGCTGGTTATTTTGGTAACGATAGTCCGAATATTTTTCAAATCGCACCGCTCTAGTCGCCGACTAACCCAAGCCCATTTTGGAATTAACCGCTAACTGTAGTTCATACAGCATAAGACGTGTTTTGGTGATTAATAAAAAAAGTTTTCAAAACATTAAATAATGTTTTTCCCGAATGTTATAAAACGCTTATAAAATTGCAAGTGCATCATTTTGCATGGAGTTAAAAACACCCATAACGTTACCATGACGTTATTCTATACCATCACCATCATGTAACCAGCTGATAACGTCGTGAAAACGTTATTTGTTATTTGGATTATTACTTAATAGGCCTATTTTAAATAATCACACGTTACTGCAAGGGAAGACACAACGCGTTCGAGCAGGCTGCTTCTCGCCTCCAACAGCCCCATATGTTTACAAGGGGAAGTGTTAAGCAAAATTGTTGAGTCTTGTAATAAACTTGTTATGGGATCGTATAAATGGGATCGTGAAGCATTTTTTTCTGTGACGAGCTTGAAAAGCTAAACATGTTGTTCAGCAGCTCCACGCGTTAAGGAATTCCACACCTATATCAGCTCCATATGTTTAGCAGCCTCACGCGCTTAGCAGGGGAAGTGCTTAGCCAATGTGCTTAGCTTGTGATAGACTTGTTATAGAATCATATGCCGGTGAAGCTTAACACATAGCTAAACGTGTAACAATGCCAACGTGTCTAGCTTTTTCTTCTGTGAAACGTTTGAAAAGCTATACGCGTTTAACATTTACACAGATTTCTAAATGCGTATAGGTGCCTAACGTGTGTTGTATGTATTTAAATGCTAAACACTGTTTTTACAGTGTATATCATAGTATGGTTGTGGTAGGTAAAATACATCACTAAATACAATTGTGGTATTGTAGTAGGTATAATATATCACTATATCATAGTATGGTTGTGGTAGGTAAAATACATCACTAAATACAATTGTGGTATTGTAGTAGGTATAATATATCACTATATCATAGTATGGTTGTGGTAGGTACATTATATCACCAAATACAAACGTGGCATTGTAGTGGATTTAAAACCGAGCATACATATACGTATACATATACATATAACTAATTTGATCATTTGACTAGCACAATTTTGAATTCACGTTTTACAATTATGAAACAATTACTACAGTGTGGACGTTCTCCTAATCAGCTGTGACCGTAATACATGCTACATGTACAAGAGTTGTCAATAATCTTCCGGCCCCTCAGAGCTCTAATTGACACTTGACTGTGATACATGTAATAAAAGTGAGTGACCCGTCAAGTACTCTGAATAAGAAATATAATTATTATCACAAGCATTGCATTATCATTACAGAGGCGGATCTAGTATTATTTGAAGAGGGGGGTGCGCTTAATAGGGGCCCCGAGACATTTTTGTATTTTTGAGGGCGAACAGTGCTATTTGGCACGGTTTTGAACTATGATTCAGCTAGTTGAAATTCTAATTTCAAGAGGGGACCATTGGTGATTTTTCTTCCGAAATCGAAGGAGGTCAGGACCTCGAGGGCCCCTCTCCCCTAAAACCGCCACTGTATTATACCTATCCCTAACTAAGATAAACAGCCCGTGTTGTTTTGCATTTAGGCAGAGGATAGACAGTTACCGTGTGTTCAAGAAGATGGGAATCAACGGTCCTCCGCCAAACCTCATATTTGGAAATTTCAGACAGATAATGGTTTGTTTTCATATTGGAAAATAACAACACTGCAAATAAACAGTGTATATTTGTATTTATCCTTTTTTTTATTCAGATAATTGTGAAAGTTTACTACCTCATTTTCGAAATGATGAAATACGCTGTATTTACTATCAACGTATAAAGTAATTGCCAGTTGTATTATCATACATGTTGAAGGCTTTTCACACTTAGTTGCCCTCGTCGTTACTTTATCCCAGTACCGCCGTGCATGTATGGGGATTCCCGGAATCAGCATTCATGTCGATTGTGTCCTCGGGTGACCATGATATTTAAGCTGCAATAAGCTTTAATTACAAGTATACTTTTAGAAAGGACGTAGGAACATTTGTTGATGTTTTGGGTTGCTATCTAAAGTGTCAAATGTTTACGGTGAAAAGCCATTCCAATTTGCATCCAGAGTTTGTAAAAATATATAACTCACTCTGGATACCAATATTTGAACTACAAAAATCAGTCAATAGTGAAATGCACATTCATTTTGATCTAGTCCCAGCCAGTTTGGATGGCATACAGAAATTGGGAACAGCTCTATGGAAAAACGTTTGGGTATGTATTCAACGCACTCTTTACATATATACAACATATTATCAAGTCCTTTTTAGTCTTTATTATCATTTACTATTTTTGTTGCTGTAAGCAACTCTTTAAAAGATTGGTGCTTAATCGCCACTATTTATTGCGATTCAATGCCAGATATATGAATTATTTACCACTGATCCAAACCATAATTAGCCAGGTCTTGTCTTTATTTTAGGGTCTTCTTTCTCAATTCTCCCAGTATAGTGACCTCAGATGTCGATTTTCTGCAAGAAGTCTTTGTCAAACAGTTCAGTAAATTTCACCAAAGAGCAGTGAGTAACAATTATCAATAATACCATAAAGAATTATTTCCCCCAAACATGCCGCTTACCAAGAATGAGCATTGCGTTTTCATTTTGATTAGTTGACCAGTGCATTTAAGACCCGATTCCCATGGATACTATCTGTCCATGTCAGACGACCCAACTCTGCAGGGGCTCTTGCTAAGTGCAATCTGCTTAACTGAACGACACACCTTCTCCTGTTTCAAACTTACTCGTTTAACCACCAACTTATTTTTTTTCTTGTATTCTTCTTAACGGCAGGAGGAGGCGTGACATTCAGTTGTTGCAGACAGCGAGGGTCCCCACGGAGTTAAGTCGATCGATGGTAGACCGATGGTGACTCTGTGAATGAGACCTTAGAAAATGTTTATTGTCGGGCTGGCTAGACGGTGTTTTGGGGTGAAATAGCATACTTGGTAGTGTAATTCAAACCAATAAAAAATGTAAATTGAACAAAATATCAGGCCTGCTGCAAAATCGCTGCAAAGTGCATTTCATTCTTGCAAATTTGTAACAACTCGCTGCTGCTTAGATTTCGTTTAATATTGCTGCAGTTTTGCTGGAATTTTTTCACTTTGCTAATTCTTTTTGGGTGAGCACTATACATGTAACACTAACAATGACACTGATCAATTTGAATTCGTTTTTTTAGATTCCTAATTCAATAGACACGGAAGATGAAGAAACACAGATGGTTTTCGCGAAAGGAAAACGATGGAAGCGCTTACGTGTAATAATCAACCCGACCTTCTCTTCCCTTAAAATGAAACAAGTAAGAAAACATATGATTATGAAAAGTAAAAAGTTCGATTCGAGACTTAACGTGTCGGCATAAGTAGCTTCTGTCTTATACAATCCTGAGTACCCCGACCCCCAAGGTGATAGCTTTATTTAAGGGTAATACAAATCTCTCTTCGATAAATCTGCGGTTGTATAGACTGTGGCATGTGTAGCTTCGTTTCATTGCAGATGGCGCCACTGATCCAGGAGTCGGTGAACAGTTTCATAGTGTCGATGGAGAAGCGTTGCCAGGAAGAAAAACCGTTCAATATCCACGGGTAAGTACTAATTACTGACAAAGTCACGTTAAGTTTCACAGCTTGAATGGAAATGGATGAATAAAGCCGGAAGTTAGATGTCAGCTTCGCGATTTCAATAAAATCGTACGTTTCTATACGTTTCCCTATGGTATTTAATCTCGAGCTTCAGTCTTCTGTATAATGTTCAGTGTAACAAGACATAAGAGCTGGTGACGTTTGTGTGACAGACAGTGGGATAGACAGAGGGGCTTTAGACGTTACGACTGTATTCAAAAAGGATGAGGTTCGGGGGAGATTTAATCCTCCTGCACATTAAAAGTACCAGACATACATTCTTTATATATTTCTTTTCATCCTCTTACGCGTACAAATGCATATCGGCTGTTTCACAATCAGGGTGAACAATTAAATGTGGTTAAAGTTACAAGTGTCTGATAAATTAACAATTTATGATTGGAGATTGCTGATAGACTGATATCAAAGACACTGTTCATAGGAACAAAATAAAAAAAAAATTATAATAATCGGACTAAAATTTACAAAAATATGGCCAATTATGTGTCCAAAAAGTACCTATTTCTAGCTGTTACGATGGGTCATTTGCAACTTAGGCCATAAATATGATGCTCTAGCTCTTTATGTCAATGATTTATGGTGAATATGATATTGGTATATAATTCCCACAACATATGTCTTCTCTTCTAGCAGGTTCTTCCAAAGATATGTTCTGAGTAAAACTTTATTTCAACCTTTTTGCTGAAACAGGCTTTTGTACACATTTTACTTTTTTTTGTTAATGCAATGAAAAACATTTTTGATAAGACCAAATATTACTTTGAAATCACCTACGTGATAATAAGGTGAATTTACCATGTTATGACTTAAACATAAGAAAGGAATGGTGCATATGTAACCATTATTATTAATACTATGGTATTTATAACCATGAGCCCCTCGGTGTCTCCTACTTTTTGTAGTGTCCGTACCACCCCTATCTATTNCCGTCCCCCCCCCCCCCCCCCATCTGTTTTATTTAGGAATCACAGCATATTCTGTCTGATTTTATTATTTTATGTATGTCCACACTGACATTTATTTTTCAGGAAGAAAATAGCACATTACCCCTTATTATGAAAAGATATGCAAGAATTTGGTGCCAAATGTAGTGTCCGTACCCCTACTGTAGTGTCCGTACCCCCAAGTTATACTTTAACCATTGGATAACTGGCTACTTATCAATGATGATAAAACTTCAAAATATGGTACAAAATATTGTTCTTGATTGTATAAAATGCATTCATGTCCTATGATGTTTAGAAAAAACTTTGTATATAAATGTATATTTGATAAAGTGATACTAATCAATAAGAGTCAGGCAAGACATTTTGCAAAAAAAAAAAAAAATAATAATAATAATAAAATAAAATAAATAAATAAATAAAGTAATATAAGTAAAGATGCTACTCTTTGCATTCAAAATGAACAATACTGCTTCCAATATATTGCCAAATATAGCTTATTGCAAAATAATAAATTGTATATGGTTTAATATTCTATGGATTAATGAATATGATATATTTTGAGGGGTTACGGGCACTACAATTAATAAATAATTAACAGAACTATATTTATAATACTCTCATTGGATGAAGTATCAAACATGGATGACAATGAACAAAAGCCAAATAGGAAAAGAAATAAGAAACCTGACATTTTTACTGTCAGCTAAAATAATTTGAAAAAAAAGGTCAAAGAGCTAACAGTCATGCTGAAGCACGTAAGGAAGATGTTGAATGCACGTAACATAGCAGAGCAGAAAAATGAAGAATCATCCAAGGCTGGCCCAGCAAGAAAGGCTAAAGATGAGAGAAGAAATTAGGACATACTGACAGAGAGTCAAGGAGAAGCAGAAACCCAACAATCCTGAAAACAGCAGAGCAAGAGGTGCAAATTAACGAGAAATGAAAAAGAAGAAAAGACTCAAAAAACAAGAATCAAGACTGAAACAAAAATCAATCAATCAATCAATCAATAAATAAATCAAAAAGACCAAGCAACAGAAAGAAAAAGTTTAAATTAAAGTCTGGTGAATGAAAGTTAAACTGAATGACACACAACCAAGCGCCAGCATCCACTGAAAAACGTGCTGTGGTGTTTATCCAAAAACATTTTGATTAATACATGTACTTGTATATTTTTGGTTAAAGTACTGTTGTTATATATTTATTTTGATATTTTTAGAATGTTGGCAAAAATAACTGGTAAACAATATGATATTTCAGTTACAAAAGCATCAATTACTTGAATGTGTAGTGTCCGTACCCCCAAATCATAGCCTAAGAGGCATTCTGTTAATTTGAACGTAACACAAAAAAATAATTAATATTGTGTTCTAAAAATGTTGGATGTCATAGTTAAGATGTGATTCTTTTTATCTGTTACAAAATTAAACAAATGCATCAGAGTTCATTTTTCTCTCAATGTGACCCCTATTTTGTACCCCTGATTGTGAAACAGCCGATTTGCTGTGTGACTTACTTCAAAGATGTGGTATTTCAAGAAAGTAAACTATAAGGCTTTTTATTATTATAATTATTATTGTTATAACTGTGGATCAAGAGGTTTGCTTTTATATGGATAAATGTATGATAGTGACATGTGGTGAATAGAGTGGTCGAATGGCTAAGAGTTAAATATTCTTATACAATCAAGACGTCTCAAGATCTTTAGCTTGGAATGTGAGCAAGATGTGATGTTGAATTCAGCAGAGACGTAGAGTGAGAGGGTTACGTGGTAGAATGTTTTGTCACAATTTAAAGTCCAATAACGTGGAGAAGCATTTTGAAAATATTTTCTCCAGTTTCTTAGAATAAAGGTTCTTTTTATGGACCACAAATACAGAGTTGTTGTTATCATTTGTTCAGTTGAGGGTGAGAGTTTAAGAACAATTTTATATATTTGTTTGAAATTGTTTCTGGTACACTGGTTAACTGTGACTGGGAATCGTTAAAGAATTTTATCAGCATTTTGCTAAAAAAAATCCTGCTGGTTTTCCTTGCGATGTGGTCTTAATGGTGGGCAGGTACCCTCTATCACAGCCACAGATATATGTCCAGTTTTAAAAGTGATGGGACTGTTTTCGCTGTGACCCAGTAATTACGTAGCTGGTCATTGTTTGCATAACTACCCAGGCACTGTCACTTTAACAGGCCCAATCCAAGCCCCCTTGACTGCAATCAAGACAGGCGATTGTTCTCGTCTTTTAAAATTACTTGCTCTTCTGTGACAAATATAAAGAGCCCCTTATGAAAAGCTCGTTACTTCAGAGCATTCCTTCAAACCGCGTGACTTGTTTCAGCAGACATCTCAGCCAAGACAGGAAGCCTTACTTCCACAGAGCGGACACAGCGTCAATCGACAATCCTCGGCTCATTCTGCAAGCTCCATACTAACCTCGGATGTGATAGGCGGAGAAATATGCACCAAATCCATGCATTTTGTCCGCCGGAAATGCCTTTTCACTCAATTCGGTTATTCCGCTCATAAAGATGGCTGTCAATACTCCTGATTTTTGTGATGCTTTACAGTTTGCCAAACAATGCACTAAGTTTGACTTTGATTTGAAGGATAAATAGATACAGGCGTTGAAAGAATTAGGTTTAAATTAGCGCATGGTTGAAAGTAGTTCCTTCCCAACAATCAACAATCAAATATGGCTGCCTCCGTATTACGTCCGAGGTTATTGTCGAGTGCGGAGACATCCGAGTAGTTCCGAGTGGACACAGCGTCACAGTATCATTTGCGTGCCGACAGAATTGGTTGCTGCCATCTGGCCAAAAGTCACAGGGTGGCGTTACAGAAAAGTGCACATATTGAAATCTGCAAGCCTGGTGATGGGTAAACTGCAAGAATGATTTGCTGAGGTCTTTATTTCATTCATAAATGGAGAATTTTGATATAATTCTTTTCATTTGGATTTAGTTGCTTGATATTACTATGATATATAATAGATAAGTTTATAAAAAGGACAGTCAGTTGAATTGATAATAGCGGGAATGTCATAGATTTATATCAAGGCAATATCTTTATCTTAATCAGCATACAAGAATCTGTACGACTGTCCTCTATGTTCCATCAGTTTTATTGCAAGTTTTCAAGGACTAATTAACGGCAATCGGAATTTAACAATATCCTTCTTAAAAACAGAATTGGATTTTTTTCACGCAGTCACTATTTTCACGAAATAAAAAATATATTCACTAGATGCAACCGACATTCATCTCAAGGGTTAGTTTTTCCTGCAGTGCTTCAGCTACAGCTTTAAGACCCATATAAAGATCTTCGCCTACGAGGGGGATGAAACTAGGGGGAAGCTCGAACTGAAGCACGCTATCAGCCGTTCTCATACTGGGACTCAATTCTACAGTGTAGGAATACTTAATACCCGCTTTAGCCTTAGCCCAGTCGTCGGAGCATCCGGAAGCCAGATCTAGAAAAATAGAAAATGAATCGAGTGCTAGAGAGTTAATTTCTTATGACAGAAATTTCAAAATAACATGGTGAATTAAAGCACTAATGTTTTCATGGCATTTGTAACTTAACTACTTCAAATACTTTATCTATTATTTGGACTATAAACACAATTTTTATTATTATTTTCGCAAATTTGTGAGGAAAAATGGAAATTGTTTTTAAAGACCGGCACCCACAGTTAAATAAAATTACAATTGGGGGGGGGGGGTCAAGTCTTCTTTTTTCAATAAAGTTTTCCTAAAATTCTCTTTAGACGTAATATTAAATGAAGCACCACATGGTATGGTATGTTTGACGCTGACCTGTTTAAAAATTTTATGATTTATATACCGTTGCTCATACAAAGTATCAAATATCACATTAATACATGTATGTATAAAATATTGACAATCTTATCTGATTAAATTCCATCATATCGTTCATCTTTCTTTTCATGCATCAGTTTTCTTTTATAAGAATGGATGGAATAAATTCTGTACTATCTATAATCTACAGATAATTCCTGTAAAGAGTGGAGAGAAAAATCAACATTCAGAATTTTTTTGTAAAACCAATCAATTTGCACATGAGGTGAGATTTTTTAAATCTTTATGACATACCTTTTTTTGCCATTCTTTCAGATAATTAACAACAACTTGGACTCCTTCATTAGGGCAAAACAAAGCGATCTTTAACAAAATTCTTTCATGAAGTCCTTCAGAATCACACTCTGACTCATCGGTCTTTCCTGGTTGTGCCTTCTCAAATTTGGAAATGAATATCCTCTTTAATTTCAGGCAGTGCTCATTCACAAAATATCATTGGTACACTAGGTCCAAGCCATAGTAAAAATATTAATTTCCCATGGTTGGTACAATTTCATAGAGTAGTTGGGAGAATTTATCAATCAATTCGAAAGAGCCTCCCCCCTCCCCCCAAATAAATAAAAAAACTGACTGCTTTAAGGGGTGGTCTAGCTTTTTTTTTTTTATCATTATTGAAGTCAGAGAGGGTGAGAAATTCCTCCACCCTCTCTGACTTCAATAATGACCGGTCTCTTATCTCAAATTTCAAAACTACGCCCATATGTTATAAATGAGATTATTCATGGTTCCAAGGTGTTATATTAGTTACTGTTTATAGTGATGTTGATCACTTACTTTGGAAAGCAGTGTTATGCAAGACAAACGTTTCGCTCTTCAGTCTGAAGATGCTCTAGATCTTGATGTAAAAGCGAAACGTTGGTCTTCCCTAACGAAAAAGTCCTATAGGATCCTATAAGATCCTATAGGATCCTATAGGAAATTGGCAGGATCCTATAGGACTTTTTCGTAAGGCTTGCATTACTTTCCGTTCCAAAGTAAGTTATCATCATCTCTTTAAACAGTAAATAATACTCAAATATAGTGTAGTTTACTAATACAGTGAAATAAATGGTATTTTAGTGTGTTTCATGTGTGAGGAATACATACATAGCAGTCTCGCAGCGGATCCAGTCAAATATTCTTCACCTCTAACAGCGAGTATGGCAGCAGCGGCTATGTTAGCGATTCTTAGCTGGAATGGAGTAAGGCAGCCTTCTGACAGAACTATTTTCGTTTTTGAAAGATGTTGAAATAGACAAATTCTAGGGGATTTAAACACTAGCCCCTTAATCTTGGAGGTATACAGTATGTAGAAATGTTCTTAGAATTACGAACCACAAAGTAGTTTTTGAGGTTTGTAATTGCCTAGTTTTTGAGTCACTCTAGAATGAAGATGGTAAAGGGTATCATCTGGGATGACCGAAGTCTTGTAAATTAGCGTTAAAGCAAATAATAATAATAATAATAATAATAATAATAATATCATCTCACCAGTTCATCGTAGTCATCAGGAAGGGTTTTGGTGTCTCCCCATGGCGTCAGCCAGTAATTCCCGTAACTATGGAGACTTATATAAACCTTAATGTCGCGCCTCTTAGACAAGATAAATTGACTCATCGCCTGGGTTTCTGGTTCGGAAAACGCTCTCTTGCCAGGAAAATTATCGTGACAGGGGTTCGGGTTTGTTCCACTCTCTAACAAAAGAATGACTTTTAAATAGTATAAAAACTTTATCATTTTAAAATGTAATTGATTCTGTTTATTTGTCTTATTTCAAAGAAGGTTTCTTAACACTCACTGTGTTTTCTCCAAAACATTCATGTGGTCTTTTTTATTGCACAGTCTAAAAGACTTTTGTTTCAGGAAATAAAATAATTATTTGATAATTATCACTTCTACTCATTGCTTAACAATTAACAGGGAAATCTGTTTTCATATTATCTTCACTGTAATAACGTCAGAAACTGTCGCAGAAAGGTCTAGGCAGTTCTCTAAACCACCACCATGCATGTTGGTTGGTAAGTTTCCAGTGACTTCCAGTGTTAACTTATTTCAGTACTAATACCTCACCAACATACGTTACTCACTTACAGCCCAGGCAAATATATGCAGTTACAGCTGCGACAGAATTTATCGTTACACCATGCATTCCTTTGAAGTCTCCTAATCAACATACTGTAAGTCAGACAGAATACTAGCAAGTGAAACATGATATACCCAAAATATCCCACTGCAATATATTCAATTTATNAAAAAAAAAAAAAAAAAAAAAAAAAAAAAAAAAAAAAATCATCCTAGGCTGGCCCAGCAAGAAAGACTAAAGTAAAGAGAATAAATTAAGGCATACTGACAGAGAGTTAAAGAGAAGCAGAAACCCAACAATCCTGAAAACAGTAGAACAAGAGGTGCAAATTAACGAGAGATGAAAAACAAGAAAAGACTCCAAAAACAGGAATCAAGACTGAAACAAATAAAAAAAAATGAATAGATAAAAAAAGGTCAAGCAACAGAAAGAAAAGTTAAAATTAAAGTCTGGTGAATGAAAGTCACACTGAATGACACACAACCAAGCTCCAGCATCCACTGAAAACGTGCTGTGGTGTTTTTCTAAAAAACTCCTTGATTAATACATGAACTTGTATCCTTTTGGTTAAAGTACTGCTGTAATATCTTTAGTTTGACATTTCTTAGACTTTTGGCAAAAATAACTGGTAAACAATATGATATTTCAGTTACGAAAGCATCAGTTACTTGAATGTGTAGTGTCCGTACCCCCAGATCAATGTCTAAGGGGCGTTCTGTTAATTTGAGCGTAGCACAAAAAGTAATTAATCTTGTGCTCTAAAAATTGTAGATATCATAGTTAAGATGCTATTCTTTTTATCTGTTATAAAATTAAACAAATGCATCAGAGTTCATTTTTCCCTCAATGTGACCCCTATTTTGTACCCCTGATCGTGAAACAGCCGATATACACAGATTCCGTAGCCGCCATTATCATGTTTTTGTAACGATCTCTCTCTCTCTCTCTCTCTCTCTCTCTCTGTAACTGGAGTTTGATTAAGCTGGCTGTGATTTCTGGTTTTTCAATACATTATATTTTGTGGTGTATGATTTCAGTGACTTCCAAGGCCTCACTACGGAAGTCATCGCTTCGTGTGGCTTTGGTCTCGAGATTAACTCAGTGCGAGATAACACGTCACCATTTCTGGCAGCATGTCGTAAAGTGTTCAGCACGTCACTGGTGATGATGTGGCCAATGTTTATTTCCGGTATGTTCACGTCATAACAATGTTACAGGCCAGGCCAGTTTTAAGGAAGGTCTAAAGTAATGAGACTTAAAATATAGCTGCAAGAACGTTTTCAGTTTATTGATTATTTAAACTATGTGCAATATTCATCTTATTACAGTGTACTATGAATTAAACTAGACCCAAATTATAAACACATCTAAAAATTACTCGTATATCATTTTTGGGTTTTTGTTGATGACCAATAAGGCCGACAATCTGTGAAGTGCAAGATTGGGTTGGCAGATCTGAGATAACCACAGATGTAATTTTTGCTGATATTTACCAACACTGTAGAAAATGTATAACAATGAATACTGGTATTCAAACAAATAAACACATTGAACGCTATTTATAAAGCTAAGGATCAAACTATCATTAAAGCAAGTCATCTTTTCATGCGATTTGGAGCTTTTATATGTCTCTGTTTGCAGATCTTTTTCCATCTTTGACCGGTCTAGCCAAGGTGTGGAACAAATATCTGATGAGAAAGACGAGGCATGACATAGGCGTACTTGCCAGCGCTGCCATACAGTCTAGATTAAATGATCCAAAAGTAAATGATATATATATATATATATATATATATATATATATATATATATATATATATATATATATATATATATATACTACTGGTAAAAATCTGTCATGCAATGAAATTAACAAATCTATTGATATTGACATCCGTATATATTCACAATTTTTGAAGAAATTACAAATGCAAAACTCCATGGCTTCCGGCTTATATGTCTTTCTTAGTTTGGGTGTTTTTATCCAACATATTTATTTATTAACAATTTCAATTGTTAAACCTAAAATGTTAATAATTTATATCAAAAACAGTTCAAACAACTTGAATAAATACCCTTCAACAAAGTATTTCAGTGACCAATAAACTAATTGAAAGTGATTAACAATCATGTGGTAAACTTTCAGTCTCGACGCGTGGATTTCCTACAGCTTATGTTGGACGCCAAAACTGACAATCTGGACTCGACTGTACCCCAGGCGATGACGGACAGTGACGTAATATCAACACAAAAGGGAGAGGAAACGGGTCAGCAGAACGACTCTTCGTCATCTCAAAGAAGAGTTACACAAAAGGCCAAACTCACAGAAAAGGTAAAAAGGCAATCTTGTGTGGGTGGGTGTGTGTACATGTATGTTTGTCTATGTGTGTGTAAGTGCACGTGTGTGTGTGTGTGTGTGTGTGTGTGTGTGCCAAAACAATCTACGTTTCACGGCTGTATGCGGACACGTTAATTGATACCAACACAAGCAGCGCCATTACTTCAATAAAAAGGTAACTGAGCAGTCATTGGTGGCTTTGGTCTTTTTTATCTTTAGGAGATCCAAACGCAGTGCTCGTCGTTTCTGTTGGCTGGATATGAAACCACCAGCACTGCCCTGGCCTACGCCGCCTACCACCTAGCAACGAGTCCAGAGGCACAGAAAGCTCTCCAGGAGGAGGTAGACCAATACTGCATTGGAGAGGTAGGACTGCAAACATATCTCTCTTGAGGGCAAGCGACTATGTATTGAAACAACGGTCTATGAATATACACGCGGTCGGATTTGGAGTAATATAGTTGGATTAATATGTAGCTTCTGTACACACCTTTTTAAAGCGGAATGGTGCACGTGCACAATTATGATCTAAGTCCCTATTAAATAATTAACCCTCAAGTGACCGAGTGGGGTCATTTACGACCCCAGCCATATGATTTAATGTGCCATCTCTTTATTTTTTATTCGAATTTTCTTTCCTTGCATGAGTTTGTCAGTCTACTAATCCTGCACACTTTCACAGTTTTTTTGTAGGGATTGACCAATTAGTGTGGCGTATACATCACAAACTCTTGTGGGGTCATTTATGACCCCAAAGAGAAGCATTGGTTTTTAAATATTAGTTTTTAAATTTTATTCAAATGTTTTGCCCACGCAACACTGACAGGAAAATGTCACATGCATGTGCTTCATGCAACCAGCCAGTGTGCCCAAAACATAGGCACAAATAAGTGGTTTGTGAAGATTGTGCTTGAAGTGTTACCAATAGTGCATCGCTGAATCTATATAATTTCAGTAGCTTTGTTGGAACTTATTCTCATAACTGGGTTTCTCATTTTGGCGGTTACAATTTTTGGGTATTTTGGAAGTCTAAAGAATTCTGTCGATATCATATTATACATATATTAACAAATTGTTTGTGTGGATTTTGTTTTATACACAGATGTGGTAGTAACATACATGTAGGTTGATTGAATGTGTTCTGAGTAGTATGACTTCCTTACCAGCATTAGGGTATTCCCTACTCAGCAAGTCAGCTAATTATTGAAGTTAGCAGGATGCTATCTCAACATAAGTTAAAATATTTCTACTCAAAGTAATTTTGTAATGTACTTTTTTCATTTAGTGTGGCAAATAAAAAGAGAAATATTTCTGCAAGTGGAGACTGACAAGGACTGTCTAAATACCGGTGTAAAGTTGTTCTTAAAATCTGTGCTTGGTTATCTCATGCAATCAAAGCATTATTACCAAATGCTTATTACAATAGATCATTATAAAATACTTGTCTTAAATCCTGGGAGTAGTATAGGCGTGATGAACCCTCAACAGCCTTTTATAATAAGGATCCCTGTACAGAGCACAATAGGGTCATAGATGACCCCACTTGGTCATTTAAGTCAGTAAAATAGCTTGGTCTCTTGAGGGTTTAGTGCTGCAAATGTTCACAACTGATGCACAGTGACATCTTTTTTAAGAAGATGAGCCAACCATCACCTATGCATGAGGTATTAATCGTAAATGTACATGTATGGTGCTGATGTCGTTATTTTAAGGCGAAAATGGGAGAATTTGATTTCCATTTCTGTATGGAAAGAAATATGTTTGTTATGTTGATTCATTCTGTTTGTTAATTGTTTTGTTTTTCAAAACTCTTTTAGGGTCCTCCATCGTATGAGACCATAAGTAAGATGCAGTATTTAGACATGTTCCTCAAGGAATCGCTACGACTACACCCTGTCGCTCCAGTGTAAGTGGACTCAAAAATACACATTTAATTAACATTTATATTATCATATAAAAGGTTAGTAGAAGCAGCTACATACCTTATTTTTCGCTAAGGAAATAACCCTTAATAAATTGTTGGGGGCACCTGCTTTGTTCTACCCTTTCCCTACATACCCTTGCTTTGGAAACGGGAATTTTTCAGGGAAATAGGTTTTTCATTGGCATATGATAAAATATTGAATCGTTTATGAGGAAGTCTTTTAATCATGGTCTTTTAAGGAAAAAGTCTTATAGATAGAAAGCACGATATGGGTAGAATAAGCCTCTTTAGAAACGATTACTTTTCATCATGGACTCCTTTGTCAAACTACTTCTATAAACCAGTATGTTTTTACTAGTGGGACAGGGAGAACAGCCCAGGAATCATGCACAGTGATGGGTGTTCATATTCCCAAAGGTATGAGTGTCCGCTGTAACATATACAGTATCCACATGGATCCCGAGCACTGGGGACCCCCAGACCCCAGCCTCTTCTGTCCTGAACGGTAAGGTGCTGCCGCCTATCGTTTTTTGTATGATATTGCTATATTTCAACTTTAAAACGAGTTGTTGTAAACTGAGATAAACTATGGAACTATTATTAAATCTAAATCTTGGTGTTTACATTTGAAATGTTTGTCTTAATTAACTTTTCAGTTTTTTCTCTCTCTAAAACCCTTTCAGTCTTGTTTATTATCCTATTACCTTGTCTTTGATTATAAAAAAAACAATTAAATAACTGTTCGGAGAATGTTTTTAGTTATTAGAAGAATCGTTTTATTTTAATAATAAATGTTTAAGCTTTGTAATTGTAAAGTCATCCAATTGCCATCCAGGCGTATTCATGCTTAGCTATAGTGGTTGGTGAACACGGTTCACGTGACGTGACACGTAATTCTACGTCATCTTTGTGCTGTTCTTCTATCCAGGTTCACGGCAGAGAGGATTGCTAAGCGTCACCCTATGGCCTGGCTTCCATTTGGGGCAGGCCCCAGAAACTGCATTGGTATGAGGTTCGCCCTGATGGAGGCCAAGATGACCTTGGCGTGTCTCGTGAAGAAGTTCAGCGTTGAGAGCTGTTCAGAGACGCAGATCCCACTGGTTCACGTAGCCAAGAGCACAGTGCAGCCAGAGAAAGGTGTCACCGTGCGTCTTACAAGGCGGAATGTAGTGGTCAATAATACTGAATAATAGACATTAACTGAACGTATTCACAAAGTTCCATAGCTTGTGTCATAATTGCCAATGACTAATCTATCAGCAAGACTTTGCTCACACACTTTTTCAATTTAATCAACATACTTTTTACAGAGATATTGTTTTACAATACAAGTTTTAAAACATATAATGGCCAGCGTAACGCATGCTATAGATGAGATGTCGATATATATAATATGTTGATGGTCTGCGTAACGCCAGCTATAGATCAGATTTCGGTATATATAATACACCAATCTACAGTGATGAGTGTAACTAAAATGCTTTCTTTTAATCATATGAAAGTTGATTTATTGTATTTCATGTATTGTATATTGGGAATTTTTGTATTTCAGGTAGTGTATATATATAATTATAGTATTTTATGTAATGTTTGGAGATAATAATCTGGATATGAACGTATCAGACATTCATACTCACATGAACGTCAAGGGATTTGAGAGAAATATTGCAACTCGGTACTCGGAACTGTCAGTGAAAAAAGGCCACTCCTCCTGCCCCCCTATAGAAGATCGGAAATACATCTGTGGTACCGGTGAAATCCAAACATTTTTGTGCTTTTATTGTATGACAATCTGTATACCCAAGGAATATCCTGCGTTAGATTTTAGAGAGGCGGAACTACGCACGACGTGCGTCATTATAAATATGCTGTAAACTGTTTGTTTACCTAGCTTGTAGCTAGCTTCGTCGGGTAGATAATCAGTTGAAGTTCCGTTTTGGGGAATATCGCCATGTTCAAAACAAGACCCTGCTATTTTTGCATCCAAAGAAAGCTGGAAAAGCAAAATAAATGATTTCTGCAGAGTCATTCGAAGAGGTTAGATTTTGGTT